GGGGGGGTGGCGTGGGGTCGGTGGCTGCTGGGCGCGCGGGGCGCAGGCCGCGGGGCCGGAGCCGGGGGGAGCGAGCGAGCGGAGGCGCCGAGGATCCGATTCACTCGCTAGGGAGACCTATGGGCCGAAGCCGTGTAAATGCGTTTTAAGGCGAGTGCAGGGAATGGCTGGGGGGAGCCTCGGGGAGCGGGTGCCCTCGGCTTTGGGCGCTGACCTGCTCCCCGGATCCTCTTGCCTCTTCTCAGCAGGGGCCTCGGCTCCGCAACTGCCACTCCTCTTCGGGGTGTTGCACAAGTTTCGAGGTCACCGGCGACCCCCCCTAGCAGCGCGCCTGGCTCTGGCCCCCGCGAAGGAGGACGGGGCTTGGTAAGGAGGGCTGGGGCTGGGGTGCGGGTTCCTCGCCCTGCACTCGTGAGAGGGGTCCCGCGGACAGAACCCGCCAGTGGCACTTACAGCATTCGTAGCGTGTCAGAACCAACCACTTATAAATGGGGGAAACTGACAAGGTCATGCAGCAGAGAACAGAGTCGAACTCTTTAGGTAGGCGTGGTCGGGACTGGAGGCATCCTCGAGACTTTTCCACCTAGGTTTTTCAGTTCTGTTCCCATGCTCTTTCTTTTTCTTCCAATCTCAAGTTTCAGAACTGGAAAGGAACCCCAAACCAATCCCACTTAACAGATGGGGGATAACTGAGGCTCTAGTAGACGCAACACCACCATTCCCAGCGAACTTCAGCTTCTCAGGCCTGTATTGGGGGTGGGGGTGGGGATGAGCAGAGCGTGACTGGACAGGGAATCTAGACCTGGGGAGGTGAGGGCTACAGCAGAGCCTGTCCCCCAGCGGTCCCCTCCATCTCCCTCTCTCTACAGTGTGTTGCATACTTTCTAAGGCGGTGGCCAAGGCAGTCAGCGGCGCTCCAAGGCAGCGGTTTCATCCAGCCTCTGGGCTCCTGCTCAGCATGGCTGGCTACCTGAGTGAATCGGACTTTGTGATGGTGGAGGAGGGCTTCAGCACCCGGGATCTGCTGGAGGAACTCACTCTGGGGGCCTCTCAGGCCACCACGGTGAGGGTGAAGGGATGGGAATGGGGTGTGACTGGGTTCCCTATTCTTTCCTCTGGTAGGAATCTCATTTGGGTACTTGATATTTACGAAACTGGCTCCTTTTATCCCCAGTTCTTGGTCCTTGCCTCAGCATCTGCCTTCCCTGTGTTCCCTGCCTTGAGAAAAGAACTCCATTGCCACATGTGTGGTCTCCCCAGCTCTCCAGTTGGAACCTGCGAGTTCCAATCTCATGCTCTCTCCCCTCCTACATCCAGACATCCCCCAGCTCCGTGAAGTCCACCATCTTAGGGCTCTAGGAAGTTAGTGAGAGCACCTTGTTTTAATTAGTCCTCATCTTACCGAAACCCCCATGACCTTCTCCCATTTTCCCCACCTCCTGCACCTCTCCAACACAGTGGAATCCTATAGCAGTTCACTGCCGCAAGGAGCCGGTCTGCCTCTACAACCACGCTCTGGCTTTAGAGCCCAGTCTTGCGCTCCATTAGAGTGGAGTTCCTGTGTACGTGGTGCGCTGCCTTGTTCTACCTTTGCTGGGATTTGCCCTCCCCGGCAGGCAGAAATCTACCGTGTATTCATCTCTAGTATTTTCCACTGTTGCCTTTTTCCTAATTCACTTCTGGCAGACTTTGTATTTTCTATCTCCATGGCCACTAACCTATTTTGTAGAAAGTCCATCTAGCATTTATTGAAGGGACTTGTAATTACTTCCAGAGTCAAGTCCTTTCAAGGTCTTTGACCTTCTCTGTCCCTTAATTATTATGTTGGACACCAAGTGGGTACCCGTTTTAAACAAAAAAGTTTCATGAAAAGGAAAACGAGTTTTGGGGTGGGGGGGAGGTCACCACAGACTCAACCATGTCTGTGAGGGAGGGCCAGTCTTCTGCAGGCATGGCTTGCAGTGGACTGAGAACCTGTGTGTCATTGACAGTGGGCTGTAAGCCACAGCCTTTGCCTTTTGTGGAGCAGACAGCTCGATATACAATTCTGCTGCTTTGAAAGGACACACAGAATGCGGCCAGAGCATTAAATATTATGGATTAAAATTATATATAGATATAGATATATGGGGGAATGGGTAGCATTTAGGCTGAATGGTGGTAGACTGGGAATTTGCCAGACTCCACAGAGGGCATGATGGGAACACAGACTTGGAGGTGGAAAAGACTTTATATACTTGACTTTAGCTGGACTGAGGGGAGAGACTGGAGCTGGTCACACAGCCAAGAATATCAGCCTGAGGTTGCCTTCCATTCTGGAGGATGTGGGAGCCTTGGAAGGTACATCAGGTTATTGGTGACCACTCTTTGGAAGGACTGTGGACAGCATGCACAGGGAGGGAGCCGGGCCTCACATCCATTCGCCTCTTGCTGTGCAGGGCAAGGTGGCTGCCTTCTTTGTGGCCGACCTGGGTGCTGTTGTGAGGAAGCACTTCTGCTTCCTGAAGTACCTGCCTCGAGTCCGGCCCTTTTACGCTGTCAAGTGCAACAGCAGCCTGGGCGTGCTGAAGGTCCTAGCTGAGCTGGGGCTGGGCTTCAGCTGTGCCAGCAAGGTGAGCCCCTCTGCCCCTCCCGTGTACCTAACCTTGATGCTCACCAAGTGTGGCCCTGCTGCTCTTGGTAATTCCAGGGGACAGGGGTGACCTGTAATTGACCATGGCCTTCTGGGAAGGTCGCCTACCTAAGAGGAGGTTCCAGGGAGGAGGGAGGAAGAAATGGGCTTGGAACTTGTCAGCTCTGAAGTTCCAAACAGGAACCTGAGATGTCTCTGGGCATATGGGTCATCTTTGAAATGGTTTTGTATTTATCTTTGTTTCATTTATTTATTTATACATTTTTTTAAGATAGGGATTCATGTAGTCCACGCTGCCCTCAAACTCACTTTGTTGCTGAGGCTGGCCTCGAACTCCTAATTCTCCTAACTTCCACCCTCCCACATGCTGGGATGTATCACTATACTGGGTTATTTTTCTTCTTTTTAAAAAACACTCGCATTTTAATTTTTCTATCTAGGAAAAAGTTTTTAAACTAAATGACAGTTTTTCAATGTCTTGACTTGGAGCAGTAGGTGCTAATCTTATAATTAAAACAAAACCAAGCCACTCTTAAGCTGTTGGATTTTAATTTTTTCTTTCATAAATTCAATGTGTGACTGTGTTTTTCAGACTAATCCTCTCAGAGTTTTCCTGCTGTTGCTGCAGACTGTCTTCCTAATTTGATTTCTGCTCTTAATTCCCTCCTGGTGGCTTTTGATTGGCTTTGCTTAGAGTAGTCATGAGCTATGGTGGAGTAGTGGCTGCCTGGGTGGGGCTCATAGTGTGGCGCTGAGCAAGACAGATGCTGCTTCATTGTTTTTACTCCATCAAAAGCTGCCTTGCTTAGGTCTATCTCGTTCATTCACTTAGCAAAATGCTATTCCAGGTGGGAGTTTAACTGTGAATGAAACAAAACAAAACAAAAGCCCCCTGTTATGGTGCTTTCTACAAAAATAAAGCAATGAAGACATGTGGTGTTGTAGGTGGGAAGTAGGGAAGGTGGGGTTAGAGGATTGTGTTTGGTTTGTTTTGAAGAAGCGTCAGTCCCTGTGGATCATAGGCTAGTCTAGAACTCGCTATTCACCATAGCCTGGCTTTGAACTCCCGATCCTCCTGTTCCACCCCTCTAAAAGCTGGGATTCTAGGAAGATTGCCATCACCACCCCTGGCTGGATTGCTCTTAGGTCGTTGTTCAAGGAAGGTTTCTCTGAGATTTGAATTCACACTTGAATGAGGCAGGAGATTGAGCCAGGTGGAGAACTAGAGGAAGAACATTCCAGGCCGAAGTTAGGGCCAGTGGTGGAAGCAAGCCTGCTGGACATACATCCCTTGTGATAACAATCACTCTCATTTTCTTGATGATTAGTCGTGGCTGTTCTGGAGAGGATCCCTGCTAAGCCCCGGTCAGTAGTGGGACTGGGTGCTGTGAATGGAGTCCAGAAAGAATTCTTGGTGGAGAAAGGAGAGCCAGCCTGTCTGAGACTATGGGGCTAGAGGGATCCCCAGTAAGGAAAGGAAAATGGGTGCGCTGGGGCGGGAGATGAAGGGGGCAGGTTAACATTTACTTGAAGGTTAGCTATTGTTCACTCTTTGTGGTTGAAGAGTCTTCTCTTGTTCTTCTTTGCATTGCCTTGTTCTAAGTCGGACACGAAGTTCAGTGAGGCAGATGGCTTTGCTCTCCTTGCAGCCTCCCGTAATATGGCGGCGCTCTTTATAGAGAAGGGAAAGGGCAGGATCCGTTGGGTCCCTTGAGCTTGGGTTAAAAAATAGGGTGAAAGTCCATTGAGTAGGTCCTTCTGCTTCTGGGAACTCGGGTGAGGTTCTTAATCCTCTAGCTTCAGGGGATGACCTCTAGAGGACAGAGCTGTTGTACAGAGGCTTAACAAACTTTAAAGACAGGAGAAAGATGTGTGCTGAAAGCGTCCACCCTTTGCTGAGTGCTTCTTTTGGGCCCGGCTCTCTGCCAGACGTTTTCTGTTCATGATCTCATTTTATTCTCGAAACAGCCCCGTGAGGTCATTCTTCTACTGTGAGGCCATTCTTTTACCGGGATTTTGATAACAGTTCCCGCAGTACACATTTAACGTGTAAGGAAGTGAGTCATAGAAGGTGAGCCACCTGGTTAGGACCATGCACTGGGAGATGCCAGCTTGAGTCTGGCAATGTGATCTTAGCCTCTACTGGCGTTGCCTTTCCCTAGATCCTTGGAGAGAGTTGCTGTGCTGGTGTGTGGCTGGTGACAATGTCCTCTCCCACGGTGGGGTCACGATGCTTTTGCTTGAGTGGTGATTGCTGGCACTTATAATAACCCAGGCTTATCACGTGCTAGGCAAGTGCTTTACCGCGGTTCCATATCACTAACCACCCCTTCTAGGTGTTTTAAGGGTGGAGGCTGCCCTCTCCTGGTGGGTCACAGTGGGTGACCATGCTCAATGGCATCATACCATACTGGACTTAGACCAAAGGCCTGGCATGAGCAAGAGCTGGATGGAGAGACAAGCCGTCAGGCCAGAGGCACGGGTCACAGCTCCCTAGGTGCTCGGATTCTCCTAGTTTCTTTCCCAAAGAACTTGTGTCCTTGATCCTGGCTCCAAGCCTCTTTCTCCACCAACATCCTCCAGCCCACTCCCTTGCGCCCCCTTGTGGTTGATCTGGGGAATACACCTAAGAATTTCCTCCAAAAAGACACCAAGGGATCAGCAGGAATACAGTGACCAGTTTATTTATCTAGACAAAATCTTATGCAATTGAGACTGATCCTCTTACTTCACTCTCTGATTGCTGGGATTCGAGTCGTATACCGCCATGCCCAGTTGATTTGATTTGCTTTGCTCCTTCCTTTCTTCCTTCCTCCTTTCCTTAGATAAGGTCTCATTAAGTAGCCCAGGCTGACCTCAGACTTGGGGCACTCTCCCCTCCTCAGCCTTTCCCGTGTTGAGATTACAGGTATGGACACCACACCTAGATTCCACTGACCACCGTGTTTTAAACACGATCATATAAACCCAGCGTGGTGGCCCATGATTGTAATTCCAGCACTCAGAAGGCTAAGGCAGGAGGATTATTGTGGCCATGAGACTGGCCTGGGCTATATATCAAGAACCTATCTCAAAGCAACAAAAATATTTGCAAACAATAACAACCCCATGCCCTGGTACTTGTGACTATTAAAGTAGCTTTGATTCATTCACTCAAAGAGAAAATGAGGGTGCTGGTTTTCTGCAGAGAGTCTGCATTCTGGGGTTCGTGGATGTATAGCATTTAGAAACATGCAAGCGGCTGACGCACATTAAGCATCTTGTGGTATAGGAAAAACTCCTGTGGTGTAGGCTGTTCCAGTCCCTTTAGCACAGCAGGCACTGGAAAGCTTTCTGTGTGAATGCATTTGGATCTGGTCTGGGGAACGCGTTTCTTTATAATCTCTTAATATATTCAACCCAGCAAGTATTCTTTAAAAAAAATCCAGTAGTAGTATACATTCCCAGTTTGGAAGACTTCAAAAGTGCACAGAAGAGAGAGAGAGAGGGAAAGAGAGAGAAGGGAGGGAGGGGAAGAGAGAAAGAGAAGGAGAAAGAGAGAGAAGGAGGGGGAGAGAGAGAGAAGGAAGGAGAGAAAAAGGGAAGGAGAGAGAGAGAGGAAAGGAGGAAGAGAGAGAAGGAGGGAGAGAGAGAGGGAGGAGAAAAGGGAGAGAGAGAGGGAAGGAGAGAGAGAAGAAGGAGAGGGAGAGGGAAGGAGGGAGATAGAGATAGAGATAGAGAGAGAGAGAGAGAGAGAGAGAGAGAGAGAGAGAGAGAGAAAGAGAGAGTTGCTCTGGGCTCGCCTCCAACCTCAAAGACCTCTTGATGATTTATCCTGTGTGTATTTTTCTCCCCCTCCCCCTGTGTAGGTCCAGGTGCTGACTGACTCCCCTGGTACCTGCTGCTGGGAGTGGCACAGCCCTCTGGACTTGGTCCTAAGCTCTCCTCCACTTTAAATAGCATCCCTTCACTGATGCCTCCCTCCCTCGCTTGAGTGTCACCTCGCACCCGTCTATCCTGTGTTGTCTCACATCCTCACCCCTTATCCCCACGTCCTTCACTCACTCGCCATACTGCCACCAGGGCACATCTCCATCCTTTCTAGAGTGGCTTGGTCATTTCTGGCATGGGTCAGTCTCGCCTGGATCCCAGGAAGTCGTTCTTCAGGTGGCCATAATAAGTACTCCCTTCCTCAGGATCTGTAATAGTCCACAGGGGCCTTGAACACCTCCACCTTCACAGTGCTGGTGTTGTGGGTGTGCATGGGCACATCTGGCTGTCGTGCTTCTCCTCGGAACTCTGAAAGCTTCTGTCCTACACAGGATAACTTGCAAACCCACACACTGCTTCTGGTCCCTTGGCAGCCCACGCCCTCCGCCCTTGTCTTCCCCATAGTGTTGAACCCCACGCAGAACATTCCAGTATCCTCAGCCCTTGGTGGGTCTGTTCCCTCTGCTGGGACCTGTCATCCCTGGCTCATCCAAAGCCAGGTGGGAGCTCTGCTTTCCCTTCTGAGCCCTCAGGCTGTGCTTTGTCCTTCATGCCAAAGGCCCCTCATTCTCTAGCATGCTGTACCTTTTCGTGGTTCCTTGAACCCACTGGCCATTCTGCCATTGTTCAGCACCCATTTGTCTATGCCTCTGCTCCACCAGCCTGAAAGCGCCACAGAGTGGGAGACCCCGTCCGCTTCATTCACTACTTGTTCTCTTCGGCACCTGTCGCAGGCTGGCACATTCACAGATGCTCAAGAGGTGCCTGGCAGTGTAGGCTGAGCTCTGGCAGCTAAGCTATGTGACTTGGAATTAATGACTTAACCTTCCAAACCTCCTGACTTCATAAAGGGATTATGAAGAAATGAGAATGTATGTAAGACTGGGAAGCAGTGCCTGACATGGAACAAGCCTTCCCTGAATGACAATTATTGTTTAAATATTTATAACCACAATTATTTAAGTCACCGGTTCTCACAGGGCTACCATGGCCTCTTTTCGCCTTGTGTAGGAAGGGAGGGAATATTTTCATATTCACCCAGACTCGGCATGGTGACAGATCTGCATCTGGAATGTGAGCTGTGACAGTCACATGTCCAACTCTGGAGCTGGATCTTTGTGTCCTTCCAAGTCACTTATTGGCTGTCACCATCGATGGGTAGACCTCTCTGAACTCAGCTTTCCCCTCTGAAATATGGAGAGTGGATAGTGATATTTGATGGTTATGGGTCTTGCAGGACTTAATGCATGTGAATAGCTAGTACTGAAGGATGCTGGGCCAGAGTCAGACTTGCCATGGTTACAAACGGCTCTCATTTCTCCTGCCATGTTCCCAAGCCGGCTGCCTCTTGACTCCTTTATCCATGGAGAGGCATGTCTGACTCTCATCTCTGGCTTTGTTACTTGCTTCATAGTTCTTTCATTTTTTGTGACATGTTTTATTTATGTGCATGTGCGTGTATGGGTATGTGTGTGGACTCATGTGCTAAGACATCGCTGGCCTTGCACAGCTTCTCATACCCTCTGCATGGGCTGGAGGGACTGAATGGAACAGCGCCTCTGAGGCAGGTCAGAAAACTGGCCAGCGAGCCAAATCAAGTCACTGCCATGCTAATTCATTTCCCAGTTGTCGGTGGCTGCTTTGTACCACAGTGGCAGTTAGGCAGTCGAGACAGACTGGATGGCCCAAGAAACTGAAAATAGTGAATCTATAGCAATGTTTCCTAGCACCTGATGGAAAGCATCTCTTTTGGAACTTTCCTGTGGCAGGTGCTGAACTGACCATTTGTGTCATTGCTGCAGTGGGTGCACGAGCGGTGGTCAGTAAAGGCAAGGAAGAGCTAGGGGCAAGGCTCAGTGGTGCAAACCCCACAGCCTGAAATGGCTAAGGATAGCACAGGGGTAGCATGAATTCCTAGCGTGCTCATGACACCTACCCAGACACCTATATATCCTAGGCATGCACAATAATAATAAAATAATTTAAAACTTTTTCAAAGTTCATTTCAAGGCCAGCTTGGGCTACATCATACCCTATCTCAGAAACAAAAGTAAGGGTTGGCAAGATGGCTCAGTTGGTAAAGGCCCTTGCTCCAGCCTTCTGAGTTTGACCCCTGGGGCCCACATGGTAAAAGGGGAGAGCCACCTCCCGAAAGTTGTCCTCTGAACTCTACACACATTCCTCCAAATAAACACATATAATTAAAAAAAAATAAATGGCAGTAACCAAAATGTAAAGAGGTGGGGGAGAGAATGCATTCATTGGCACACCAGTACAGCCCAGGCCTTTGGACTGGGTGCTGTGTCAGAGAGACACATGGCTTTGAAGACTTTCCTCATATGTCAGATAATCTATGTATCTCTCTCTCTCTCTCTCTCTCTCTCTCTCTCTCTCTCACACACACACACACACACACACACACACACTCATGATAGAATGGCTATACCAAACTAACCCATGCTTTCCCTCATTTTTTCCCCTGTGGTAAGAATACCTGTGATCCTATCTCTTGGCAGTGTCTAAGCACACAGCACATTGCTGTTCATGTAGTCATCCGATGTCCTGTAAGTCACCTGACCTTACTCCTTTGATCAACACCTCACTGCTTCTCATCTCCTCAGCCCCTGGAAACTTAACCGTTCTACCCTTCTATTCTGCTTTTCTGCCTTTGGCATCTGTGAATTCCACTTAGTTAATGCGCGGTCTGGGGTGATCGCTCGTTTTTTTTTTAAAAATTATTTATTATATATACAATATTCTCCCTGCAGGCCAGAAGAGGGCACCAGATCTCATTATAGATGACTGTGAACTACCATGTGGGTGCTGGGAATTGAACTCAGGACCTCTAGGAGAATAGCCAGTGTTCTTAACATCCGAGCCATCTCTCCAGTATGAGTGATGGCACGTTTGATCCAGTGCTTGCCATGCAAACGTGAAGTGTTTCAGTGCAGGCATGAGGATCCGGGCAGAAGAGCAGGACATCCAGACCTTGCTTCCTAGACAGTCCAGCCCAATCAGTGAGCTGTGCATACAGTGCACCTGCACACACACACACACACACACACACACACACACACACTGCATTCTCCCATAGTCTCTGTATCCACTCATCCAGGAATAAATGTTTAGGCTGATTTTCTGTCGTGTCTGTTGTGATGGATGCTGCCTTGAACAGGGGAGCATGGCCATCTTTTTGACTTCAAGTCCTCTGGATGTTACCATATAGGATTTCTGTATTGTCTAGTGGGTTTCTTTATGATATTTTATACACGACTGACTATAAAGTATTTTGATCACATCCTGTCGCCCTCTCTTTCCCCTCTCTCCCTTCCACAGACCCTCTTTCTCTTTCCAACTAGTCCCTCTTCTACTGTCAACTTTTTTTTTGGTGATGGGAGGTTCTCACTATGTAGTCCCGACTGGCCTTGAATTCACTATGACCATGCTGGCCTCAGACCCAGAGATCCGCTGGCCTCTGCTGGGACTAAAGGCTTGAGCCACCACACCTAGCTAGCTTTATGTCATTAGCTGCCTCAGGTTGGGGGGCGTGCCTCCTAAGATCAGGTTATGTTCATGGCCTCAGTCTTGTAGGTCTCCTGGAGGTAATCGCAGTTGCTATGTAACCTTGCTTATCCAAGGACTCTTCATACTCTTTTCCAAGCAGCATTCATTGAATGTTTCAGTCTGTCTGAAGCCTGTGAGTCTGCACAGTGCCTCGCTGGGGGTTAGAAAATGTGCACCCCTGCCTTTTTAAAAGAATGATTTACTTATTTTTGTGCATATGAATGTTTTGTCTACAAATATGTGCACCATGTGCATGTCTAGTGCTTGCCAAAACTCCTCTGGAACTAGAGCTATGGGTGGTTGTGAACTGCCATGTGGGTGCTGGGAACTGAACCCAGGTCCTCTGCAAAAGCAGCCAGTGCACTTAACCACTGAGCCATCTCTCCAGCCCAACGTGCCTCCCTTTAAAGACATTTGATTTTTGAAATAAATACACTGATCGCTTTAGAATGAGAGATCTTCCCGCAGGCAGGAAGTTAGAAGAAATATGCAGATATGCTGTCTTTGCTATGAACTGGATCCTCCTCCCCAGGTGTGTGCAGTGCCCCACTTGTGTCTGTACATGGCAGGGCTGCCATCAGAGAGAAATCAGCGTGAAGTAATTGTTGTGTATCCGATGTCTTAAAGAGCTGGCCCACTGCCTGGGCAGTGGTGGTGCACACCTTTAACCACAGTACTTGAGAGGCAGAGGCAGCCTGATTTCTGAGTTTGAAACCAGAGCCAGCCTGGTCTACAGAGTGAGTTCTAGGACAGCCATTGAGAAACTCTGTTTTGGGAGAAAAAAACCCAGAGAGAGAGAGAGAAAGAGAGAAAGAGGACCCACTTGTGTTGATGCCCAGTGTGTAGTTATGAGCTTGCCCCCCTATCCCTGGGCTCCACAGGCCAACAGGCCCTGGGGCCTCCTCACCACGACCTTTGGAACTTCACAGGCAGAGATGGAGTTGGTCCAGCATATCGGTGTCCCTGCCAGTAAGATCATCTGTGCCAACCCCTGTAAGCAAATTGCACAGATCAAGTATGCTGCCAAGCATGGGGTGAGGCTGCTGAGCTTCGACAATGAAGTGGAGCTGGCCAAGGTGGTCAAGAGCCACCCCAGTGCCAAGTAAGCTGAGAACCACTTCTGCAGGGAGACTGGGCTGTTGGGTGAGGGTGAAGGGGGAAGAAGTGGGGAGCTGGGCAGAGGTCCCCATCCTGGATGCTCCTTGGATCCCACCACACTTACAGCTATTCCTGGACGGGACCCAGATCCAGGGCAGAACTCTTACTCTAGATAGAAACCCTAGATAGAAAAGGTCCAAGGGATTACAGAGGTCTCAGTTTCAGGAAAGATGACATTTGAAGCGAACCTTGAGGAATGAGTGAAATTTGGGGAGTCAGAAACAGTCAAGGCAAACAAATACGTTGGTGTTGGGAACAACGTGGGACATCTGAGGGATGTACAGAAGTGGGGTGTTGCTTGAATATACTGTGCAATGGGTGAGGGGCACAGTAATATTGGCTATGGGGCGGTGGCCCGGTGCGAATGGTTTCTGGGAGGGAGTTCACTGGCTGTGATAGTTACTGGTCCTTGACACTCTGGGGATGCAGAAAAGGCTCTGGGGAAATAGGAGGGCGTCCAGGGGCCACTCTGGTCCACCCAAAGCTTCAGAGCTCTCCTTTGGAATTTATTTGACACATGGTTCCCTCTCATGTGATATGTCTGAAAACTTATGAAAACTGGTTATGGAGTTGATTGGGGAGACCTGAGCTGCCTGGGTGAAGGTTGGTGATATCTGGACCCAGCAGGTGACATAGACATCGCTTGGCAATGCAGGGTGACCTAGGAAAGCTGTGGGCTCAGTGGTTCTCAACACATTAGTGCGGTGTGTTTGTGTGTGTGTGTGTGGGGGGGTGTCACTCAGCGAGGATGCTGGCAGTGGGGCGGGGCTCACTCAGCAGGGATGCTGCATTTTTCCACAGGATGGTTCTGTGCATTGCTACCCAGGCCTCCCACTCTCTGAGTCACCTGAGCCTGAGGTTCGGAGCGTCGCTGAGATCCTGCAGACATCTGCTTGAAAACGCCAAGAAGAGCCACGTGGAGGTGGTGGGTGTGAGGTGTGCACTGGGAGCCGGCCACCCTGCCCACAGCAGACCCAGTACCTGTACCCCAGGAGCTAATCATGGACCTCCTGGACCTCTGTCAGGACTTGCCCCAGGCCTGGAGTTCCGCCACCGGACAGTGTCCCCTCTTTAGAGGGAAGATTTAACAACATCCCTTGCACAGTCCCCAGAAGGTCTTATCCCAGGAGATTGCTCGCAAGGATGGGGCTTTGAGAGAGCCCCGAATGCCTGTAAGCCAGAGGTGGCAGCCGTGCTCTGCAGCTGTTTCTTCCCATACTAAGATCGGTTATAGTGAGGGTCGCTTCTCCAGCTTTGTCTGCTCAGAACTTCACGTTCCAGGCTGAGCATCTCAGGCTTTATTCCGCAACCCTGTATTGTAAAGACTTTTCTCCCCAGTCTGTACAAGTCAACATTTAACAAGGCGAGCCTAGTAACTCACCCTGGCCCACATACTCACTGGCTGGTGTGTCCTGATCTGGGTACTTTGGGACCTCAGTTTTCATCCTGGAAGGTTCCTCTCCAAGGGAGCATGATGGGATGCCTCCTGTCCGCTCCTGGTGTACCACGTGACCCCGTGTATTCCATGTGATGCTCCAGACCTTAGTCATTGCCTCTGTAACATGGGCACGCCTGGACCTTGTATGTAAGCTGAGGCTCTTCTTCCCTTTCCAGTTTTCACATTGGCAGTGGCTGTCCTGACCCTCAGGCCTACGCCCAGTCCATCGCGGATGCCCGGCTCGTGTTTCAAATGGGTGCTGAGCTGGGCCACACGATGAACATTCTGGACCTTGGCGGCGGCTTTCCTGGCTTAGAGGGAGCCAAAGTGAGATTTGAAGAGGTGTGTGGTCAAGGGTGGCTTGGAGGTCATTTTGTGATGGGGGAGAGGCACCGCGAGCATAGGGAGCCCGCTGCACAGTACGTCTGGCCTGTGTGTCTCACTGGGCTTAGTGCTCTCCTAGATTTTATTGCTACTTATTAACCCTGTGTTGTGGCACAGCTGGGCTTGTAGAGTTTATGGCACGTCCTGAGTCCACAGCAGAGCAGGCTGCACGCCTCACTAAGCCAGTGCACTTAACTAGCTTGTTACAGGCTCAGTAAAGACATTATTTATATGCCACGAGCTCTCTGATGGTCTGAGTATGCGTGCCTTATTCACCTTCCAATGGGCTGACAAGAAACCTGGGGGGAAGGGCAAGGAAGCAAAACCAACCTTTGGTCTGCTCCCATTGTATGGGTCCTCTCACCTGTGAGCCAAGGGCAACACAAATGTGTCATCGTGATTCCCACTTTGACCCCTAGGGGTGCCTGCCCTCCCCTCCCTCTGGTTTTTTGAGAGCCCTCCTGGAACTTCTTTAGACCAGGCTGGCCTCAAACTCACAGAGATCAGCCTGCCTCTGCCTTCCGAGTGCCGGAATTAAAGGCGTGCACTACCACAGCCCAACTGGGACACATCTCTTCAGTAGCACAATACTTCTGTAGTCTCTGTCTGTAGGAAATGATCCTGCGAAGGCTCCAGATGCCCCAGGAATGAGCCTCAAAATGAGGACTTGCAGCCTTGTGCATGGCAGAAGTCTAGTGGCCTTCCCAGTGCCCAGCCTGGCTGGAGTATGATGAAAACGTTCATTCTCATGCGAGGACAGTCAGAGTCCAAAGAGTGTGACCGGTTATAAAATCATACATGTGCTGGAGATGGTAACTGCATGTCTGTAATCCAGCAAGGAAGGTGGCTGTAGGGAGATCAGAAGTTCAAGGCCAGCCTGGGCTACATGAGGCACTAGCTCAAAGAGCCAGCCTTTCTCCCATAAGGACAAAGCAGCAACAGTGACAAACCCCAAGCCCACAGAACCAGGTTGTATGTATAATTAAAAATAATGTCTGCATAAGAATTAAAGGAGCCACTCTGAAAGTTCACAGTGATCGGGCTCACCCATCCCGGATGGCAGAGCCAGCTCTGCACGCTTGTTTTTTTTCTGGAACCTCATCTACTATTTAACAAGCCGGTTATTTATGAAGGAAGGATCCATGTCAGAGAATCTGGGATCTGAGCACCAAGCGTTATAGGAAAGAATATCCCTTTCTATGTGGGATTATTTGGGCGAGTGAGCTGTGCAGCCACGAGGTCTTCACTCCAGTGTTTCACCCCTCCCCAACCCCCACTTACCCCAGCCATGTGCCTTCCTGGCTAACTGTGCACAATTACCAGCTGGGACTTTAGCAGCTGCCATGTCCCCCCTGAAATCACATGGTCCTGCACCTACCTCTCTCCCAGATTGCCTCTGTGATCAACTCAGCCTTGGACCTGTACTTCCCCGAGGGCTGCGGTGTGGACATCCTTGCTAAGCTGGGTCGCTACTATGTGTCTTCTGCCTTCACTGTGGCTGTCAACATTGTTGCCAAGAAGGAGGTTCTTCCAGAACAGCCCAGCAGGGAGGGTAGGTGCCAGGTGGGCGGTGGAGCCCAGTTCTTCGCTGAAGCTGAGACAGTGGCTGACTAAGCAGGGGTGGGGCCTACTGGAAAATGGGTGTTTACTGTAGGGAAAGTTGCAGTCAGTTCCCCTCACCCCCAAAGACAATTTTATTCCTTTATTCTAGTGGTTCTCATTTTTTCTATCGCGTCAACCCTTCAATACAATTCCTCATGTTGGGGTGACCCCCAAACATAAATTATTTTCATTGCTACTTCATATATGTAATTTTGCTACTGTTATGTATTGTAATGCAAATATCTGATATTTCTTATGGTTTTATGAGACCCCTGCGAAAGGGTGGTTTGGCCCCCAGGTTGAGAACCCTTGCTTTATTCCCTAATGCGTTTGTATTTTATTCATGGAGCACAAAGCAACCTCAGGGTGAATAGGTATTTAATTGGCCCCGTTTTATGGATGAGAAATGGAGTTAAAGAGAATGTAAAGTGAACTGTTTAACAGTTGGCTAGAGGTAAGCTTGCACTTGACCCAGGTCTGCCTCTTCTTCAGAGTACAGACTCTTACTCATCTTTCCTATAACTTCATGACACTGCATTTGTTCATGTCCCCTTTCCAGAGGGCAGACCACAGGCGGGGAGCGTTACGTCATCGGTTCAGGGTCGCGGGATTGATAACGGCCAGGACTGGATTTCAAGTCCAGCTCGGGATGACTCGGAGCTCCTGTGCCCACACCACCAGCATCAGTGCCCTCCTTTGCCCTTCCAAATAGACCAGGCTTCCCGTCAGGATCTCTCAGGCACCATGAGTGACAAGTGTCAGTGAATCTGATTTTGGGCTTTGCCCTGTGCTCCCTCACACTAGGGAGTGTCATAGCGTTGTGCTCTTCCTCAGAGAGAGCTGCTGGTAGCACGGGGCGCCAGGCAGCATGGTCAGTTTGTGTGCATGTATGTGCAGCCATGCATTCTCCCGGCCTCTTAGAGACTCGGGGGAGAGTCTGTCTAGTGTAGCCAGCCTACCTTGTTTCTTACTGTGACATACCTCCTCCCTGTTGTGTGCCTCTGAATTTGGGCGAGCTGCTCTTCGACTTTTACTGGGGCCTCTAGGAACTCCTGTGCAAGCAAGGAAATATGTTCTGGCGCTGTGGTGGTGACGGTGGTGGGGTCTTCCCAACACGGAAGTGGATCTATGCCACCGGGAAAGATTGTTTTTAGTGGTTTCTGTTGCAGGGTCTACCCCATACCTGAAGAAGGGGCAACCCTTTGGCCCACAGCTTTGTCCTTACTGAGCCCACTGTAATATCAGCTTCTGACTCCCAGGCCCCTCATGTTCTGCTTGTGCGGCCCCTCTTCTCTCCCTTCCTCACAGACGAAACCAGTTCGGCCCCTAAGACCATCGTGTACCACCTTGACGAGGGCGTTTACGGGATCTTCAACTCAGTCCTGTTTGACAACACCTGCCCCACCCCCACCCTGCAGAAGGTGAGCCCATTCCCTGTGACTGTGCTTTCATCCTGTGCCTGTGTGTTTATCTAACTCTTATTTACTTAGTTGGTCTTTGTGGTGCCAGCCGGGCTCAGACCCAAGGCCTCAGACGTCTGAGCCATGCTCTGTCACTGAACTGAGTTCTCAGTGGGTAGTGTAGCTCAGTGATGGGAGAACCTGCCTAACATGCGGGAGGCCCCAGGTTCATCCCACACTAAAAATTGTTTAAAGAAAATAGATAAAAGATGTTCGCATGGTGTGCACTTGGAATCTCAGCCCTTGGGATGCTGAGGCAGAAGGATCATGAGTTCAAGGTCAGACTAAGCTACATAGAACCTGTCCAAGAAAAGAAAAAAGAAAGAAAGAAAAGAAAAGAAAGCGAAGGGAAAGGGGAAAGATATTGCTCAGTCTCAGCATGCAGAAGGTTTCATTTCTTTTTATTCTTTTAGCAAACGCAAAGTGCTCATTTTCCCAGCACCGGGGTCGTTTTGTTCCCTAATCTCTCTTTTCACTGAAATGGGGCGCAGCTTTTGCTGTGCCATCAACTCATCTTACAATATGGGTTATTTTTTTTTTTTTTGGGGATAAAGTACTCCAACCAATGCAGCCCTAGCTGTTCGACTCCGTCTCCAGCACTGGGTGTCTTGACAGACACCTGTGCTCCCTGCTCTGGAGTTAGCCCCCAGAAGTTAAAGTCTGTGTGTAATGGTTTTCATATGATCATGGGGACAAGAGCAACAAGGCACACCCGGCCTCCAGCAGCTTTAGTTGCCCTGCAAATGCCATGCTAGTGCACACACACACATACACACACAGAAGAAAAGAGAGAGAGAGAGAGAGAGAGAGAGAGAGAGAGAGAGAGAGGAAGGTTCAATGGTACCAAAGAGAAATAGAGGAAGTGTGCACATCTACACATCAGAAAATTCCAGAATGTAGGAAATGCTACAAGTGAAAAAACAAAAACAGTTTTGTTATCAAATTACCAAAACTTTTTTTAAAGAGGGTTTTGGGAAATCGCTACATTAAGAGACAAGGCAACCTTTTTAGACTGGGTCTCTCTCGCTGATCCCAGCTGCATAGTGGGGCACATCCCTGCACAATGAATGATTTGTCTGCTGAGCCCGGTCCTCCAGCTCCCCTCCCCCGCTTCCCATGTCTTCTAGAGTCTCTCAAGCACCCCAGGCTAAACTTGCTCAGATCTGAACTCTTCATTTCCAACCCAAAGGCCCTTCTCCCAGCCGTCAGCACTGCCGAAGCTGGAGGACTGGATGTGATGGGTTCGTGCCTTCCCTGTCTTTATGGGTGGAGGACACCTGCATCTCTTGAGCCTCGCTCCCAAACTGGTTTTGAGTTCATCTCCTTCTCTCCTGCTGTCATCTGAAGTGGCCACCGGTGCTGCTCTGACCCCTCCTCCTGGCCCCTCCTCCGACTCATTTCTTTTCCCTCCTTCCCTTCCTTCTTCTCTCCCTACTTTTTAAAAGACAGGGTCTTGCTGTGTTGCCCAGGGAGGCCTCCTGTGTGTATTGCTGGAATCAAACAGACTTTGGAAACGTGTAGGCAACTTAAAGTTCAAGGGAAGTTTTCAGACAGGGGAGCAAAGCCTGTCTGCGCTAATGACCTCTGCTCATGGTCCTGGCTCCTCCTCCATCCGAGCTTCTCTCCCACTGTGTGTGCACAGCGCTTCACTGCTGCCAGTGCCACTTATGTGCTGGTGACGCTGACATCATGTGCTTATGGCAGTTGGGTCTGTGTGAGCATTTCCATGTCATTCCTCTCTTAATTTTTCTAAGAATACTTAAGGAACATGCTGTCGATCTCATTTCATAACGGGAAACTGGCCTTGGAGGGGCGGTGTCGTACGGTGGAAGACTTATTCCCTGCAGACTATGAGCCCTTGCGGGTAGGGGCCATGTTTTCTTCATCTGCCTCGTGTCGAGTACAAAGCTCCAGTCACAATCACTTTCTCGCCCTCCACCCGGGCCCTGCGGAGCTTTTGTTATTCTTATTCATGCTTCCCTGCGTATCCTCCCTGTTAGAATGATCTCTGCACGACTGGCCCATTTGACATTGTTATGCTTTAAGAATGATATTCTAATGATGAGTCCCCCCAGTCTTACCAGGTTAAAAGACAGGAGCCTTTCTAGGCCCCGTGCTTACGTACCTCCAGGTTACTTTCCACTGTCTCACAGGCTGTTACCACGGGTGCCCTTTCACAGCAAGCGTAGAGGCCTTCTCATCTGAAACGACACACTTTACTGTTGCTCTCATATACATATTTGGAATGCGTTTGTTGTTCTATCTCCTTTGATACCAATGCTTTTACAAAGACCTATTTATTTTTATTTTGCATGTGTGAGTGCTTTCCTTCATGGGTGCCGGCCATATGCATGCAGTTCCTGCAGCGGCCAGAAGAGGGCATTGCATTAGCAGGAACTGGAGTTACAGACTGTGGTGAGCGGCCACGAGGGTGGTTGTGAACAAACCAGGGTCGTCTAGGGAGAGCAGCCAGTGCTCTTCACCATTGAGACATCTGTCCAGCTCTGTCAATGGCTTCAAAACAAACAAACAAACAAACAAACAAAAAATGTAATCTCACCTCAAGTTTCTCCTAAAATCCCCATGGTCTCTTTGTGCTTCTATTTATGAAGTCCTGGAATAGATGCTTTTTTAGACAACTCAATGAATATTTAAGGTGTTTGTATGTAACAAGTACATCTAGGCACCGTGGGAATAGCTCAGTTGGCTAAGTGCTTGTTACACATGCATGAGAACCTGAGGTTAGCCCCCAACATCCATGTAAGAAGAAAAGCAAAACCAAACCAGGTGTTTGGTGCACACTTGTGACCCAGCACACTGGGGGTCAGTGGAAAGGCAGATAGATGTGTGGTGCACCCTTGTGACCCAGCACTGGGGGTCAGTGGAAAGCCAGGTGTGTGGTGC